ACACACACATATATATATATATTCTGTTTATATGTTATTTTTATAGATACAATTTATTTAAGTAAATGCTCTGTTTTAATTAAAGTGTATTAATTACATTTACCGATCTGAATATTCGAGAAATGTTCCGACAGGAGTTGAATCTCTATTGCTATACGGAAACTATCATCTGACGTGCTATACCATTTAGCTACAGATAAGCGTCTGGTTAGTAAAGTACAAATTACTGTTTTTAAACACACCGTTCCTTACGAATTTTCTCGCTCGATCATATCTGCTCACGAAACGTATCTTAACGTAAACAGTGACAACATATAATGAAATGGATTAAGTTCGACTATTATATAATATAATTTCTTTTTATACGTTTTTCTGTTTATACACTATTTTCATAGATAAAATCTATTTAAGTAAATGCTCTGTTTTTAATTAAACCGAATTAATTACATTTACCGGCCTGAATGTTCGAGAAATTTCGTAGAAAATATTCAGACCGATAAATGTAATTAATACTGTTTAATCAAAAACAGAGAATTTACTTACATAAATTGTATATATAAAAATAACTTATAAACAGAAATGAATTACAAAACACACACACACACCCCACACACACCCACCCACACACACACACACACACACACACACACACACACATATATATATATATATATATATATATATATATATATATATATATATATATATATATACTACTCAGGCATATTTGTGTTTGTACATCACCCACAGAGTCCACGTGAGGTTTCTTCTACTATGCTGAGCGAACCTTAGTTACAATTTCTGGGAGTAAGCGCGTTATTTAGCGTAATCAACAGTCTGAACAAGGTCAGCTCCCTCTAACACTTGGTCACGATGACTTGTGACTCTGTGCTTGCACAACCATCGACGGCTCCCGAATGAGTTCCGTCTACCTAATTTCACTCAAAAGTGGAATGTTTTTCAAGCACTTTCCAAAGATGCCGCACTCTAGAGGTCACATTCCTGACAAATCGACCATGGTTCTCATGCATTCGAAACTGGGTTCCATATATATATATATATATATATATATATATATATATATATATATATAAAAGAAAGAAACAGTAAGATATATAATCCTGTGTTCTTATTGATATTTTTATTTTTACAAAATATTGCTCAATGTAAATTTACAGAGCATTATAATTATAAATTAACTGTTTAAAATATGTTTTTTTCGCTACACAGTAATAACCATGTTTCAAAAATGGAAGCTAAAAAAGCTTCGAATTTAATTTTGTAATTAAATTAAAACATTAGCGAATTTTGGAGTAACTTATTTTTTAAATTTACTGATTTTTAAAGGCACAGAAAATTTCATAATTCACAGTTTCCAAGGATACAGAGAGATCCAATCATTCAGACAAGGAGTATATATATATATATATATATATATATATATATATATATATAATCAAATCTGAGATTGAGATTCAATATTGTTGTAGCATTACCTAGACGATAATGGGTATGTCCCCATTCACATAAATACAGTCGTAAATATTTTATATTGGTCTGCAGTTGGAGATTCGTCTCCAGCTGTGCTAGTCAAACTCTCTGCCTTTGGGCAGAGAGGAACGCTGACGAGGCTATGCCGAAGGGCCTTGTGCCACATCTGACCGCGTGGGGCGGTTGGCAAATATCCTGCAGTTGGAGATTCATTGTGGAATTCACTTGACTTACTTCTAGCCGTTGACTACTTCTCCTACGCGCCGCTGGCAGATCTTATATGTGTTGTTCTTGTCCTAAGTATTATTGTTCATTACCAACCTTAGTTTGATTATTATATTCAGTAACCTTCCCTAGGTTACAACAAATATCAAGCACGATAATTGCATTTATCTTTTTTATGTAGCATGTCCCTTCAGGACATGAGCGATAATGGCTCTCCACAACGTCCTATCATCATTCATAGCTCTAAAGTTTGTCTCCTTACTATCCCTTCCAGTCCCTGTTCATTTACACAAACTTGCAAACTTGTTAGGTAAGATGGTCACTGTTTCCTTCTGTCCCTGTTGACTTCAATATGTCCTGCTAATGACAAATTCTTAGAAGTATGTTTTCTAATTATGTGTCCCAGAAATTTATTTCTCATTCTAAAATCCAAGAGTCGATTTTGAATTCCACTCTGGTTCGTTACATTCATGTACGCGCAATACACTTAGGAAAGGCATGAATCCATCTCCTCCCCGGCTATGGGTTAAAAAATAGGTCTTATATCTGGAAAAATCATTGTTCTCAAAAAAATAAGAATTACTCTTACCATTCAAAATACGTTTCGGTGTTAAATAACACAGAAAAGGTTGATAAAAACACATCCCTCAAATCAATTCTGATTCTAATTAAATCTCTATTATTATAAAACTCTGTGAACGTTGCTTGTGTGTTTGCCAGAAGTCATATAAAGAGAAAGAAAGATATAAATTTATTATCGTGTAGTAATGGGGGAAAAAAGAAATGGTGTGTGTTCGTATCAGATGGTGACCTAATTTAACATCCGGATTGTGGACATAAATGTAAGCATTTATGTCCGCTTTTCACCTCTCTCTCTATCTCTCTCTCTCTCTTTCCACCTCCCTCTCTTTTCACTTCTCTCTCTCTCTCTTTCCACCCCCACTCTCTCTTTCCACCCCTCTCTCTCTTCCACCCCCACCCTCTCTCTCTTTCCACCCCCCTCTCTTTTCCACCTCTCTCTCTTTACACCCTCTCTCTCTTTTTTTACACCCCTCTCTCTCTTTACACCCCTCTCTCTCCACCCCCTCTCTCTTTCCACCCCTCTCTCTCTTTCCCACCGCCACTCTCCTCTTTCCACCCCACTCTCTCTCCCCCTCTCTCTTTCCACCCATCTCTCTTTCTACCCCCTCTCTCTAACTTTCCACCCCCTCTCTTTTTTCTCCACGCCCTCTCTCTCTCTCTTTCCACCCCCTCTCTCTCTTTCCACCGGCACTCTCGCTCTTTCAACCCCACTCTCTCTTTCCACCTCTCTCTCTTTCCACACCCTCTCTCTCTTTCCACCCCTCTCTCTTTTCTACCCCCTCTCTCTCTCCACCCCTCTCTCTCTTTCCACGCCCTCTCTCTCTTTCCACACCCTCTCTCTCTTTCCACCCCACTCTCTCTCTTTCCACCTCTCTCTCTCTTTCCACCCCTCTCTCTCTTTCCACACCCTCTCTCTCTTTCCACGCCCTCTCTCTCTCTTTCCACCTCTGAGATTTCGTGTGTGCTTATTTATATTTCAGCTTTCTTTAAAGAAACAATATTTTAAATATTTAAAAAATATTTTTTGCCATATTTAAAAAATATTTTCAAGCGAATATGATTTTTAAATATATTTTGGCATATTAAAAATATATTTTTACATTAATGTGATTTAAAAAATATTTTAGTGAATAAGATTTAAAAATACGAATTGTTTATACAGTAAGTATTTTTTATTTCAACTTTCTTAAAACTGACAATATTTTAATGTTGAAATCAACTTCCATGTTTTTTTCGCCTGAACTGTCAGTGACCCAACGGGTCACGGATAGTCTAGCTTAATATAAAATGCCAATTATGAAATCCGAAAGTACGCAGGCATTTAATAATTCATATTTAAATTTCTACCATTAGAAATTAATTTATATATTTCCTGTCCCACCTGTACAGGTAAGGGAGGTAAATCGACTTAGTAAATTTATAAGTAGTTACTTCCCTTAGTTATTTTAATAATCTATATGAATAAAATATTAATCTGCATTTAGACAAAATTATTTCCCGGGCAAAATGAACCATTTAATTAATCAGATCCTTTGCTTCTAACTTTCTTAGATTACAATTTGAGTTGTTCAAGCCTTTCATGTGAGACACTAAGCTAGCTTTGTCTATTAAATGATCTTTTTATTTCAACTTGTTCTTGAAATAAGTGTTGTCGTCCCCGACTTTGTCGTGCTGTTGCTAATCTTTTTATTCCAAAAGATATTTCCGTTTTACTGTTATATTAAACACATAAAATGTTTAACATGAAAAGATATTGAGCAAAAAGCAATTTATATAATACCAGGAGTAATCAATGAATCATACATACCAATGATGGTCTAAAAAATATAAAGGGAACGAATTAATTAAACGGTTCATTGGTTTCTATTTTAGCTGTGAATTCTTTATCGTCGCTTTATTGAATCTAAATTCATTGTTTCAAGGCTTTTGTTTCGTTGCATCTCACTATTAAAACTTTCTAACAATGGCCGTCGTTTTTGACGGCACGGGTACACTCTTAATTAAATAAATGTTTAACAAATAACTTTCGTTTGTTTTAACAAAACTCATACACACACAACTCACACACATACACACTACGCATATATATATATATATATATATATATATATATATATATAGTGGAGTCTCCGTCGTATTCGAAGTATGAGGTCAAGCAGCTGAGTTCCTAGGACACCAGACACCATCAAATATGATTTGATTATAGTGGTGAAGGCTTTGTGCAGAACCAACCAAACTTCTTGAAGAGCCGAATGCAGAGACCCGATGCACTACGTGCCACAAAGTCCCCAAACGACCCTCCGCAGGTTTTGAATTCAGAGTTGTCCTTCTCCTAGATCAGTTGCCATCCAAGGCTATAGAACCCAGTCTATCCTGCTATTTACCCATAGCTGGAGGAAAGATGAAGATTAATGCACGTAAATGAATGCAATGGATTCGACTGGAATACATACATGCATACATACATATATATATATATATATATATATATATATATATATATATATATATATATATATATATATATATATATATATGTGTGTGTGTGTGTGTGTGTGTGTGTGTGTGTGTATTCAGATTTATAACGTATACATGTTATAAGATCCCTACCAAATACAACACACACACACACACATATATATATATATGTGTATGCATTTATGTTTAAAGGCTAAGACATAAGTCTTATTAAAATCAGAAGCCTAGTCATTTTGTGCATCAACTATATACATAGATAGATAGTGCTCTACTCGTCTAAGAAAGGATTCTCTGTAAAAAAAATAGTTTGTAAAGGTGGCCAGATTTTTAATTAGTGGGTCGGGTTGTTCACGTTTCAGAACCTCTTTGTTGATCTATCGATAGATAGACAGATTTGATTTTACGGGTTATCAAAATTTTGCCAGAAAATAAAATCTGTTTATCTATCGATAGAACAACAAAGATGTTTTGAAACGAAGAGATAAGGACTCACTGATATAAATCCGACTAATTAACCCATAGCAGGGGGAGAAGCTGTGGATTCATAACTTTCTCAAAGGTATTCGCGTGTAAGTGAATATTCCTACTGCAATAGGAACTCGGCTCTACGATTTCTAATTATCCTTTACACCCTCTGCATATACAAGCTTACGGCACATGATACTCCTAAGTGGTCACTCATGTAGGTATTGACCAGGCTCGACGTTGCTGAACTTCGTTGATCGGACGAGAACCGGTGTTTCAATCTAATATAGCTGTAAGATAGATAAACAGACTGGTACGCAGAGAGATAATGAACAAAATTAGATAGTCTTTGTTTAGCGGTATATCAAATTCGATGGGTTATTTGGATAATAATAATTTTAGTGATACAAGTCTTACTAATTAACCCATAGCTGGGGGGATAAGAGATTCATACCGTTCCGAAGGTTTTTTGCGCGTAAGTGAATATAACGAAACTAACTCGTATCAGAATTAACAATTCCGAACCATTATCCATTCCAACACCCAAACATCAAAGCTTACAACACCTGGATTTTCCAAAAGGTCACCCATCTAGGTTCGATATTGTTTAACATCGTTGATCTTACGGGAACCGGTGATTCAACGTGATGTGGCCATAAGGATAGATAGATAGATAGATAGATAGATAGATAGATAGATAGATATAAACAGACTGACATAGATAGATAGATAATGAACTGAATTAGATAGATAGATAGATAGATGATAGATAGATAGATAGATATAAACAGACTGACATAGATAGATAGATAATGAACTGAATTAGATAGATAGATAGATAGATAGATAGATAGATAGATAGATATGATCAGACTGAGATAGATAGATATATAAACAGACTGAGATAGATAGATAGATATATAGATAGATAGATAGATAGATAGATAGATAGATAGATAGATATGATCAGACTGAGATAGATAGATAGATAGATAGATAGATAGATAGATAGATAGATATAAGCAGACTGACATAGATAGATAACGGACAAAAATAGATAGATGAATAGATAATGAACAGAATTAGATAGATAGATAGATAGATAGATAGATAGATAGATAGATAGATAGATATGAACAGACTGAGATAGATATGATCAGACTGAGATAGATAGATAGATAGATATAAACAGACTGACATAAATAGATAGATAGATAGATAGATAGATAGATAGATAGATAGATAGATAGATAGATATGAACAGACTGAGATAGATAGAGAGATATATATGAACAGACTGAGATAGATAGATAATGAACACAATTAGATAGATAGATAGATAGATAGATAGATAGATAGATAGATAGATAGATAGATAAATTTTCCTTCCAGGAACATGCTATCGAGTAATCAAAATTAATTAGCATTCACTATTAAATATCGTTTTTAGGCATTTTTGTCATAATAATACCGATCGAGAGAGCGCCCGCACTGGTTCACACACACACACACACACACACACATACGTGCGTGTGTGAATGTTGAATAATGTATAATAAACTAGTAAAATACAATTGTTGGCGTGGAGTTTCATCGAGGACACAATATATCAATGTTTCCGATAACACGGGTATTGCGACTTGGGATCCGTTCCCCTGATAACACCTCCCTAATTTACTTTAAAAAAAAAATGATTAGGTCATTACCCGTTATCTGGGGCAAGACCTGTGTAAAGGACCTCGGTATTTTTCAAAAGCCCGCGATAATCAATGACTTCACGTCACGTTTTGCGCCGAGTGGTGATAGTGAATAAATATCACACGAACGATGGTTTTAAGCACGATGAACACAATAGCCATCACTCAGTATAGCGGGCTCTGTCTGTCAGTCTCTGACTCACTCAATCACTCACCACAAACACACACACATATATATATATATATATATATATATATATATATATATATATATATATATATATATATATATATATATATATGTATATTATATTTCACAACACTAACCTATATACACAAATATGTCTGTTCTGTTTTTCTTTTCAATTTTATATATATATATATATATATATATATATATATATATATATATATATATATATATATATATATATATATATATATATATATATATATATAGAGTCACTTGCAGGTCTTATGAATCATTTAGGAGGTCATTTGAAATCCTCCCTTTAATTTCTGTAAAGCAGTAGTTGACAACATTGTCTATTGATAGAGAGTTCAATCCTCAGTGATTTCATCTCTCTCGTGGTCTTGTACACATAAGATGAAATACATGTGTATATTTTCTGTATACATTCATATATATATATATATGTATATATATATATATATATATATATATATATATATATATATATAAAGTTTAGTATATATTTGTAATGGCAGTTAAATATTTTACAATACAGAGATTTTCAGCTTACAATATTCGATATTTGACATATACAGTACAGCGTTCCATTAAGTAATTTGACAAAGGAGATTATGTTCAAAATTTATCATTTGTTGTGTTAAATAAATACGGTACTATAATATTATCAACGAAAGAAGAAAAATTTGTTGCGATTATCTATCTATCTATCTATCTATCTATCTCAGTCTGTTCATATCTTTCTATCTATAACAGTGTATTTTTTTTTATTTTGTGTTTATCTATTTTCTATCATGAGGTGATTGCATGCACGTAATGTTTTTACGTCAACATGCAAGTTCTTCAAACACACACACACACATACGTATATGCACATGTAATGCATATATACATATATATATAGGTATATATGTATATGCATATGTAAAAATGTATATGCACATGTACATACCCAAACGCACGTACAGATATATATGCACACACAGACACACACACACACACACACACACATATATATATATATATATATATATATATATATATATATATATATATACCCGGTGTAAATCGACTCATGACTGAGTAGAACCTACACAGGACACATATATATATACGCATATACATATATATACCCATATATATATATATATATATATATATATATATATATATATATATATATATATATATATATATATATATATATATATATATATATACCATGTTGTTAATATATATATATATATATATATATATATATATATATATATATATATATATATATATATATATATATATATATATATATATATATATATATATATATATATATATATATATATATATATATATATATATATATATATACTTTTTGGCATGGTGTAATGGTTAAAAGATTGTCTCGCTAAAACAATTATGACTGAGAAGTGAGTTCGATACTCACTGGGTGTCCCATAAATTGTACGCTTAGAAAATCAATATATATATATATGTGTGTGTGTGCTGCGTGTATGTTGAAAAATGAGAATGGCAAATTTACTGAAGCAGGCAGACGCGTACACTCTCTCTGTTATACAGGTATGAAATATATTACGCCACTATACACACACTGCAGGCACACACACACGCATACACACAAACACACACACACAAACACAAGTACAAACGCCCGAACACACGCACATGTAAGTAGGGAATCTTGAGGCCGCTGTTTATGTAATATTCTTATATAGCATTTAAATGCAACCAGCGTTTGAATATTTAAATGAATATGCAAAGTTAATTTCACACACGCTCATCCAGAAAGACACACACGCAGACACATAAACGCATATATCTGTACATGTACACATGCCTACCTCTGCTATGTACTGTATTGGTATGTATGTATGTAAAATGTATAGAACGCGAGTTCGACGCATGGCGTCTTTTGTACCGTTGGGTTCGACGGAGATAGCAGTAGGCTTCCATAGTTGGCCAACTTCGGAAGGTATAAGCAAGTCAGCAAGCGAAGAGACAATCCATACTTGTCACCCTTGCCTAGCTATTGCCAAGACCGCGACGAAAAGCATTCAGAGACGAAGGCGGGCGGGTGCGGTTTGTGAGGTTCGGGGAGGGGGGGCGGATTCAAAAGACAAAGTTGAGGAGGTTGAGATAAAAGGGGATATCGAGTGGTGGTGGTGGTGGTGGTGGTGGGTAGGTAAGCATGGTGTGGGGAATGGAGGAGGTGAGAGGTGATGGGGGTGGTGGTTACGAAATGCAGGAGGTGAAGCCTATTTGTGCGGGTGGCGTGATGGCAGTGTCGTGCGGCGACGGCGGTGGTTATGGCGGGAGACGTGTAAAGACAAAGAATAAATAGAAAGTATGAACGGGAACTGTGGGTGAAAAACGCACCTATGCTTCTTTCTTTTTTTTTTTTTTCTTTCATTTCTTTTTTACTTTTCGTTCTTTTCTTTTTTTCTCTTTTTTCTTTTTCTTTACTTTCTTTTTTTCTTTTCTTTTTCCCTTTTCGTTCTTTTCTTTTTTATCTTTTTTCTCCTTTTCATTTCTCCTCTTTTTACTTTTCTTTCTTTTCTTTTTTCCTTTTCGTGTTTTTCTTTTTCCTTTTCGTTCTTTTGTTTTTTTCTTTTTTCCTCTTTTTCCTTTTCTTCTTCCCTTTTCGTTCTTTTTTCCTTTTCGTTCTTTTCTTTTTTTATCTTTTTCTTTTTCCTCTTTTTCTTTTATTTCTTTCCTTTTTTCCCTTTCTTCTTCCCTTTTCGTACTTTTCTTTTTTCCTTTTCGTTCTTTTCTTTTTTATCTTTTTTCTCCTTTTCATTTCTCCTCTTTTTCCTTTTCTTTCTTTTCTTTTTTCTTTTTCGTTTTTTTCTTTTTCCTCTTTTTCCTTTTCGTTCTTTTCTTTTTTCCTCTTTTTTCCTTTTCTTCTTCCCTTTTCGTTCTTTTTTTCCTTTTCGTTCTTTTCTTTTTTTATCGTTTTCTTTTTCCTCTTTTTCTTTTATTTCTTTCCTTTTTTCGTTTTCTTCTTCCCTTTTCGTTCTTTTCTTTTCCTTTTTTTCCTTTTCTTTTCTCCTCTTTTTCCTTTTCTTTATTTTCTTTTTCTTTTCTTTCTTTTCTTTTTTCCTTTTCTTTCTTTCCTTTTTTACTCTTTTTTCTTTTCTTTCTTAACTTTTTCCCTCTTTTTCCCCTTTTCTTTTTTCTTTTCCTTTTCTTTTTGTTTTTTTTCCCGCTGTACAGATTTTTAGTGTATGTCAACGATAATATGTCGGGTTCATGTGTGTAGCAAATCTCTATCGATATATGTATATATTTTTTATGCTTCCTGACCCGTGTGTGTATAATAGAGGTACATGCACACATACATACACAAATATATATTTCCTCCTAAGCTGATATCAGATATACAGATATAGGGATGAGCCGTACAGTATGAAGATATATTTTATCAGCAACCACCCTTCCAGCTTACTGCAAGCAATCACACACACAGTGGTTTCCCCCTACAAAGATGAACGAATGTTCGAAACCTGCCGGAGAATACATTTCCTTTATTAAGACTCGCGAATGCACAAGCCAGTAGATGTCATTCACAGTGTCTATAAGAAGAAAAAAAAAACAAATGCAGGGCATCTACTCAAACACATGTATGCACATATCGAAAACATTTCTTAAGTTCCTAACAGTCATACCAACTCTTGATTTATTTTTATATATATATATATATATATATATATATATATATATATATATATATATATATATATATATTCCGATTTTTTTTGAATGTGTAGGTCTGATGAATTGGATTATGATTACAATTACAATGTAATAAATCATAACCATGGAGTATTAGTGTTTCACTTACTCTGTCCTGGACATTGAGTTCTACCTGGATTCGATCTTCTTGGGAATTCATATATATATATATATATATATATATTGACCACTAATATTATATATATATATATATATATATATATATATCATAAAGAAATACATTACCCCAATTGACCCGAATGAAAAAATCAACATAATTATCTACTACAAAAAACTTAAAACAGCTAACCTTATCCTCAAAGGCAACAACACATCAGCAAAATCAAAATTACAACAAACAAACATTATTTATCTGTTCAAATGCCCCTTAAGTAACTATGTTCCTGATCAAACCGAATTCATAATTAATTACATTGGTCACACAACTACATGCCTATCTAAACGTCTTACGTTACACCTATCTGACCTCAGCTCTATTAGAACCCATTTAAACACACATACAAACTTACCAGATCCCATCCGAAACATACTAGTAGAAAATACAACCATAATAACCTCATGTGACAAAAAAGATTCAAAATAATGGAAGCCTTTATAATAAAAAAGAAAAAACCAATACTTAATATTAAATACGAACAAGGCCACAATGTGCTGTGTTCGGAAAATAAAACAAACCTATAAATCTAGAAACATATACAACCCATACACCCAATTAAAACATAAAATCATCCTTGATAATGGCTAAAAGTATAGACGAAAGCGCTTGAAATTATAGAACATTTGGACAGTTTCTACATGCACTGTGTCCCCAAAAAGAATAAAACACTTGTTCGAACACAAGTAAAATTAAATAAAAAGCTTAATCGCAGTACTTTTTTGTCATCGCTAATGAAATATATATAAACGAAGGGTTGCTGCGTAAAACACACACACACACACACACACACATACATATATATATATATATGAATAAAATAACAAGAGGAAAAACTATTAGCCGACGCGTTACATCCTCTGAGGACTTTATCAATTATTTTTACCTTGATAAATTTACTCAGAGGATGAAACGCGTTGGCTAAGAATCTTCCCCTTTGTATTTTTATTCATTTTGTTCCTTCACAAATACACTTATCTGATATGAATATATATATATATATATATATATATATATATATATATATATATATATATATATAAAAAGAAAGTTTGACATCACAATGGGATCACTAGATTCAGCTGAGTCTTCTGATGTCATTGGTCTTTTTATTTTATACAACCTTACAGCGCACCCTGATATCAATATAACTGACAGTGGTTTGTACAGAGACGATGGACTTATGGTTATTAGAAACTCAACTAACTTCAAAATAGATAGAATTAGAAAGTTATTATATAAAGAATTTAAAAACATGGGCTTAAAAATTATTGTTAGCACTAAATTCAAGAAAGTGAACTTCCTAGATATAACATTAGATTTAAATAAAAATACATACACACCTTATAAAAAACCCAACACCAATCCTTTATATATACGCCCTAAATCAAATCACCCCCATCGATAATTAAACATATACCGTTATCTATCAGTAAAAGAATTAGTACAAATACAGCAAAAGACAAGATTTTCGATGAGCATATCAATTCCTATAACAAAGCTCTAAAAGGGAGTGGCTACAAAAACCCAAAACTAACTTATGTAAAAAATGAAAATGGAAACCATAGAAAAAACAGATGTAGAAAAATAATTTGGTATACACCCCTATACAACCAAATGGTAAAAAAACAAATTAGGACAAAAATTCCTCGCGTTAATAGTCAAGCATTTCCTAGTGGAAGTAAACTAAGTACGATTTTCAATAAAAACACACTAAAATTGAGTTACAGCTGTACGGAAAACTTAGAAAAAATTATTAAGAACCATAATGCTAATATCTTAAATAAACACTTATACCAAAACCCAAAAAAATTTAGACAATGGAAAAATAAAAATAAAAACTGATGAAAATAAACAAAAATTATGTAACTGTAGAAACCCTCAAAATTGCCCTCTACAAAATAAATATCACACCAAATCATTAGTATACCAATGCAATATCTCTTCAATTGAAAATCCTGAAAACATAAAAATATATATAGGTTGCACTAGCCATAAGTTCAAAAAAAGATTCAACCAACATCAAAGTTCATTCAGGCTAAATAAATATAAAAATCAAACATCTCTCTCGAAGTAATTCTGGCACCTAAAAGAATCAAATAAAACACCTACAGTAAAATGGAAATTAATAAGAAAAGCTAGAATATATAGGTCATTAAATGACCCATGTCCTTTGTGCATACATGAGAAAATATATATTACTAAGTTTATAAAAAACAAAAATTTACTGAATCAGTGAAATGAAATAGCTATTTTATGCCGTCATTGTCAAAAATTTTCTTAAATAATATTTAAAAATAAAAATAAATTTAAAAAGTGCGACCTGGTAATATACGTACTTATATTTAATGGGAAAAAATAATTTTATATACTCAAGTAATTCTATTATATATATAAAAAAAAAGTCTATTAAAATAACAGTGAAAATACTTTAAAGTTGTATTTAAAATTTTAGTTAAAACGAATTCTAACCTAAACATCTTTTTAAAATTGTAGTTAAATAAAACGTATTCTAAACCAAAACACCTCTCTCAAATTACTACCGGCACTTAAAGGAATCCAATAAAACACCTACAGAAAAAATGAAATTATGATGCAAAGCTATAAGATGTAGGCCATTGAATGTCCCATGTCCTTTGTACAGACATGTGAAACTATATATTACTAAGTATAAAAAAAATAATGTTTACTAAATCAGAGAAATGAATTAGCTATTTTACCGTAATTGTCATAAATTTTACTTAAATAATATTTGAATATAAAAAATTTTAACAATTAAATATACATATTGATATGTAAAAATAAAACTGTAAAATTCTAATACATTTAGTCTTTTAAAAAGAAATATAGTCTATAAAACTAACAGTGAAAATATTTTAAAGTTGTATTTAAAATTGTAGTTAAATAAAAAGAAATTCTAACCTTAACATCTTTTAAAATTGTAATTAAATAAAACGTATTCTCCCTCTAAGTACTACAAGCACTTAAAGGACTCCAATAAAACACCTACAGTAAAATGAATTTAATATGAAAAGCTAGAAGATGTAAGCCATTGAATGACCCATGTCCTTTGTACTTACATGAGAAACAAGATATTACTAGGTTTATATAAAAAATAAAAAATAAAAGGTTACTAAACAAGTGAAATCAATTAGTTTTTTTGGGCGTCATTGCCATAAAGTATACTTAAATAATATTTAAATATAAATTAAAAAAATTGTTACCTAATAATATACATACTTATAGTTGACGTGAAAATAACTCTACATACTATAAGGGATTCTAATACATTTACTTGCTCTTAAAAGAAATATAGTATATTAAAAATAAAAGTGAAAATATTTTTTAAATTGTAGTTAAATAAAATATTCTAACCTTCCCTCCACCCCAAAATCTTTAAATATACAAATAGAAAAAATGCCGTAAGAATCTTTGCCGTTAACAATAAAAATTTTTAAAAAATCCAGACGACATGCATTTAACGGATGTCAGATTTCATTGAAAAATACATCCCTACCCCACTACCAAAACGTCACTAATAGTTGATACATCAAAATACAGACATAATGAACACGCAAACACCCCTCGTCTGGTTGAAATGAATTTCTCTGTGTCCTTGGAAACGTGAATTATGATTTTTGCTGTCTTTAAAACCCAGTAATTTTATAAGTTACTCCAAAATTCGCTTGAGGATGAAATGGAACTAATGTTTTTCATTTAATTACAAAATTAAATTCGGACCTTCCATTTTTGAAACATGGTTAGAACTGTGTAGCGGAAAAACCATATTTTAAATCAATTTATTTATAATATATATATATATATATATATATATATATATATATATATATATATATATATTAATTAAAAACTCCAATCTTTGTTTATATTGTCTATGCTTGATGCAGGTTTAATGCTCTGGAGGTGATGGTGAAAGAAGACGTTGCAATGAGTTATGTATACTTGAATGAGTATTACCACTGGAATTGGGAGTAGCTGCGCTATATTGAGTCCAGTTAGTTTCTTCTTCGGCGTCGCTGACCTAGTGGTATGATGCTTGCGTTGTATCATAACGGTCAGGGTTCAATTCTCGGTAGTGGATGCACACACACACACACACAAAAAAAAAAAAAAAAAAAAAAGGACGAAACGGCGTTTCAGTGCATTGTGTTGAGGATTCTTATTGTACACTCGATGAATTATTATATGAAATTATCAAAATCACGTTCTTTGTATAGATACAAATATTTAAGTAAATGCTCTGTTTATAATAAATACCGGCCTGAATGTCCGAGGAATTTTCATAGACACTCA